GGGGGGGGGGAGGGGTGGGAGGAGGGGAGCAAACCGTTCAGGAATATCCTGTGCTCTGTGTGCAGGAGAGCAGATGACCAGTGCTGCTCTGGCATTAATCCCAGGAACCACTAGCAGTAGCGGGGTGCCGCCAATCTAACATGAACACAGGTGCTTCATGACAAACCTTACTAGCATGTTCAGCTGCATCATGTTCTGGCACTGTATTTTGAATGACATTAATTTATTAAAAAAGACTGAATCCAAGTGAATCTGAGTGTGCTTTCTGGTTGCAGTAGATGCAGTTAGGGCACCCTCCCAGCGCATGCATGCTTCTGGCAAGTAGTTTGTTGAAGGCAACTAGAAATAGCTGAGCTGCGAAAAGCCTGGAGAGGTATATGTTAATTAGCTGACTGTGTTTACTGGTTGGTGAAAGCTGGAAATGAGGTACTGAAGTCAAACTGAGGCTTACATAGAACTTGAAGCCCTCTTCTAAACCGGCATTTTTTTTTTTATTGTGGGACAAATTCTGCTCTTCAGAAAGTGAAGAACAACAGGCACTGGGGAGGTAATGAAGGAATCTTTTCCATGAGCTCAGAAGATGAGAGCGCTATTTTCAGTCTTTAATATCAAGTTTATTTACTCAATTGCCCAGACTCACTTTTCCTTAATTCTGTTTCTTATTCCAGTAAATACAATTAACAGCTTTTGACAAAGAAGCCACCTGCATATTTTTGTGGCTAGGTCTCAGATTTACAAAGTTTGTCTTGTACAATTATTAAAGGTTTTGACCAGAAAAGGGACTTTAGATGAACCTGCCTTGTATAAAACTTCTCATGCTTTGGTGTTTTGTACTGTGTAAGGATTTATGGGGCCCAGAATAATGATGGCTCCAACAGAAAGAGGCAAGTAACTATATTTTTTTTTATGAAGGTGACATAACAGGTTTGCATTTACCATTACATCATTCTGGGTTTTGTTTTAGTTCTTTTAAAAAAAACTGAATTGCTTAGGTAAGAGGGGAGAAGTGGCTCAGGGGATCCTGCTGATAGCTCTGTTTATATTACTTTCGTGTAGTCTGGCACATGCAGTTCCAGGCCTGTTTGAGGGAATATACAATAAAACAAAACCAGCAGCTACTACTTTATAATGCAATTTGGAGGATTACAGACCTTGGCAAAAATATGAGTGGTATCCTGGTAAGTCCAGCTGGAAAGGACTACTCAGGTCTGTGGGTCATTCTCACTTTAGCCTGCATTCAGCCTTAGGGCAAGCCTATTTTCCTCAAGCATAGAAAATCTACAGCTGGTGAAGGAGCCCAGGGGTTTTGTTCTGTTACTGAGAACTTTCAACTCAAGTTTAAAAATCTCATGCATAGTTTCTTACTGAAGAGGGGGGGAAAAAGGTAAATGGGAGTAGGAAATTGGTGAAGTCACAGTTGCTTCTCAGAACCTGGAAGAACTGTCCCTGATTTTATCCATTTAGGAAAATCTTTTAAAATACAGATGGTCTCCATGGCTTCCTGCTAGTCTGCATTTTTAATATTTTTATATTGTTTCTAGATACTATCTGCATTTTTTGTATTTTATACAGCCTATGATGATGTGGCACCTTATTTAAAATTAAAATACTATTAACAATACAGTACTTAAAGACATGTACAAGCCAGTCAAGTGTTGGACAGCTCTCTAGTGACTCTGTTAGAGACATACTTACTATTCACTTATACAAGTACTTGCTGCAGTCAGTATTCAACCCCAACAGAAAACACAGCTGGCAAATGCTATTCTCAAGCTTAAATTCTTTCCTTAGCTAATTGGAGAAGGAAACTGTGCAGGCAAAGCCTTGTCACGTGCCTGGAAATGGTCACTAGCAGTAGAATTGGAGAAAGGCTTCTGGGAATGAAGACAACAGCTGAAAAAAACCTGGCAGTTCTCATTTCATAAATAGAGCAAATATGATTAAAGCCTTCATAAAGTAGTATCTTATTACAAAGCTTCAGCCTAATATGAGCTTATTCGAGCTGTACTTGGCTTTGAAGGATGTTTACAGACAAGGTTCAATGAATCAGCTTTGTATGTCCTCAAGCTTTGCCATATTTGCAAAAGTGTGCTGCTTTTCTGGTAGAACTACTTTAAGTTAGTACTCCTCAGTTTCAGTTCCCTCTACCTGAAGTCATAAAAAGAAGTGATCTGCTCCTTTTTAATGCATCCACTCATTTTTACAGTTGTTTAAATACATACCTAATTGCAAGTTTAATTTTTGCTCTAAAGGGACCAGTCAGATCTAGGGCAGTGAACTGCGTCAAGCTTTACAGAGAACAGGATCAGACAGGTAGCTAATTTGGGGGGAAAATAATTTGATAAAATGCTAAAGACTTTTTTTTTTTTTTTTTAAAGATTTAAAGCACTGCCTGGTTTAAAGCCCTGCTTTCCACAGCATTTCTCATTTCACATCTCAGTGTTTCTGTACACTGCAGTACAGCTAAGGAACACCTGTGGACAAACCTGCAGGCCACTGAACTTACTGCAGGCTCAGTGTTTTTCCTCCTCTCCTCCCCATGTACAGCTACCTTCAAATTGTTTTCTCTTTTTGGATCTGGATTCCTACATGAAAGGAGCTTTAATTTAGGCAGGCTCTGAAGTAGGCTCACCCTTAAAACCAGTTTCTTTCCACTTCATGCTCAACATGAGCCAGACAAAGTTCTGTTTAGTTCCACTTCAAAATTATTTAAAGTATCTCCCTCCTACGATGTTTATCATGAGTACAATTCGGCAAGGCAGAGTGCTTACTCATAGAGCTTGCAGCCTGGAGGAGGAGTACCAGCAGACTGAGTAACACGCAGGGATCACTCGCGATGCCGGGAGGCAGTCTGTATGAAACCCGTATGTCTTTGCACACCTCCTGAGTTCCGGTATGGAAGAGGTTGGTAAACAGCCTGAACCAGCAGGTGAGAGCAAGACCTGGGTCAGCACCGGGTTACAGAAACCGTGACATGGAGGAAAGGACTAACTGAGAAGATGGGACAGGCATGGAGATGAAGCGGAGTAATAGAAGTCTCTCTCCGCCTGTGCTGTCCTCCCCTCCATAGCTCTTCCATGGCCTGGTCTAACTTGTGAAACGAGATACCTTAGTTTCAGCAAAGAAAGGTTTTAAGCATTGTACGTACACAGTTGTTGAAGCGCGACTGGTCCCCTGAAGCATTACGTGACTTCCTCGCTTAAAATAGTAAAAACTAAATATAGGCACCTCTACTGCATTAATATGACCAAAGAGCCAGTAAACAGGACAATAAAAAGTACTAAAAAGGTACTGATGTGATGCAGACCTTAAAGTCTATTCAGATTATGTGCTAAATATCAAATTAAACCTTTATGCTGAGATGTTATCTAAAAAGTGCTAGAGGGATGGCTAGCTAATTTAATCCTCAGCACATGTTTTTATTAAGATATAAAAAAAAAAAAAAAAAGAATCTAGTCCCACAGCTTAGGAGTGGACATACTCTCCAGCCAGCTCTCTGGCACAGCATTACACACATCAAAATACATAGACACACAATTTATTAACAGCAGCAAAGGTCAGTAACCACAGGTCGTATTAGGCAGTAAATTAAACTCAGCGTTATTTTCGCCACTTTCTGGGGTGCCTGAACTTTTAAAATTCTCGACTGCGTTTTTGTGTGCGTTTTATAAAGTCTCTGAATTCACAGACAAGAGACCAACTCCGTTTGCTTCTTCAGTGTTTTCCATCTGTTTCGTATAACATGCAAGTGATGTTATTCCCCCTATTGTTTTGAAGACAATGAAATACCTCTACATCTGCCTTCACTTTTGGTAACTCTTCTTCCTTCAGTCTAACCATCCTTTCTTGATTTTCTTTACGCTCACCTGATCTAGAAAGCAGTGTTGCTTTCTTGGTGATCTAGATTAAGACAAGAAAAGAAGATTTTGTAGGTTTTCTCTGCTACTGTTGAGGCAAATAGTAATTATGCTTTCATCAATATTGGTCAGTAAATTCAGGCAGGGAATTAACAACAAAAAAATAATCTTATTTTCTCTCAGTTGATTTTGGAATAGTATTACAAGAGGAGCAATGTGTGATTAGGCAATTTTGAACCTATACAGAAGGACTCAACAGGACAGCTAGACTTCCAAGTTCCATCACAACTAAGATTAAGCCACCTGCATACAGAAGTTGTGCACACCTAACATCAATTTATGGGGAATAAAATAATCTGAGTAAGGTTCACTGTTTAACTGACTATTTAACTGACAGAAGTGATACTTTTTTTTTAATGAATCCAAACACTACTTCTAGTATTTGTTAAAGAATGGGGTCAAGACCAGAAACGTCACAGTACTAAAGCTCTGTGCCTGCTTTTTCAAGTCAGTCTCTCCTCTACTATAGTATTAAAGACTCAAAACACCATGAAGCGATTTGTCACACACCTTTAATCACCGTACAATAATGTAGTGTTTCTGCCCTTAAATGAATACTCTCCAAGTTGCCCCTTTTAATGAAAACTAAGTACATGCAAGAAAGTAAAGTTGTGCTGCATAAACAACATGATATAAATTTATCTTTCAGTCTGTTTGAACAACTACTTGCATACCATCAGAAAAACTTCAAGTTTTAGAGAACTGCAACCGTGTTTGAGCCACAAGCTACAGGTAATTCTCATCTGAATGTTATTCAAGGCATTTGTGTTTCCTCCTAGTGGAAACAGTAATTCACCAACTCATTCTCAGCTAGGTAGTGACAGTTACAGCAGAAGTTTTAAAGTTTTAAAATAACCCGTTAGTGAATAGCTTACTACAGCAGAGTGCTAGATGTTGCAGCAATTAATTTACTCAGCATCCCGATTTTGACTAGATGTCACAATCCACGTGAACTACATACTATTTTGAAGCTAAATCTAGATCAAAATTTTACAGTTCTACCTGAAGTTCTTCCTGATGTAAGAGAGCTCCGTGACCTACTAAAGACTTCAATTTACAATGAGCAGTACTCAACAGGGAATAAAGCGCCACGCTAGAGGATCCTCTTGTCCCAAATTTGCAAAAGCAACATCCACAATCAGTTTAAATGGAAGACAAATTTAAAGAAAAAGACTGCCAGTGTGTTACAAGCAGTTACCAATACCAAAAAACAGATGCCTGCAAGTGGGACTAATTTCTTAAATTAATCTGAATTTCTTAAAATAATACAGCTTTTTGAGCAGACAGCTTTCTGCAGGCTGGATGTATTTATGTTTCAAGCAGCACAAGAAAAATCAAATACATTACTTGTATGTTCAATTATCAAGCAACAGTTTCTATGTTTAAAAATGGCATTCACCCCTTCCCTTTTACAATTAAATACTGCCACATTAGTTTCTCTGCTTAGTAATAATTTCTATGGAAATCAGAAGCTTCTTTAGGCAAAATACTAAATTGAATTACAAAGGTGCTTAAAACAAATGTACAGGGTCAAACAAGTGCAATGAACTAGGACACCGATCTAAAAATGATAATTACATTGTGGTATTTGAGGAAACGTGTCAGAAGCGTACAGAAATTAAGGTTATGACATGAAAATGATTGATGAAAAATGCTGAACATTTTAGTCAAATGAAATTATTAGGTCAGCAATACTTAGTCTTGTGGGGTTTGGGGGTCTTCTATCTCCTATCTATGCTCAATAGGCAGTTCCTCAAATGCTGGCACACACAAAACAGCAGAGGTTGATACCTTTGATGCCAGAAAGTTGAGAGGTGCGCCACTGTAAGTCAGTTCATGCTGCACACTGACAGCCAGAAATACCTTTGCAACATACACCATGACAGAGCTGTAACAACAGCTTCACAGCTGACTCATTAGAGGCACTATCACCAATTCAGTTAGCACTCAGTGTTTCTTGCAGTGCAGAAATGGATGTCAAGAGATCTTTCAAATGGAAGCTGACTGCCTAAATCTTTCTGAATAAGTAATAATGCTTGCACTGGAAGTTTTAAAATGGAGGGGAGGAAAATAACTTGTATTTGCACTGGATTTAACTAAAGAGGTTACAACCGTTAAATTAAAAAGAGGACTGCATGAACTTAATGAACCTCAGCAGCTGCATGCCTTCCTACAGCCCAAAAGTAAGTTTAAGCAAATGTCAAAGAGCAAACATACATGTTAATGAAGACCACATATTATGAAGATCACTTCATCTCTACCTACTGCATGAGTCTTAATCACTGTGTGAGTTTAAATCACAGTCCAACTTGCTAGCAGGATGCCAGCAGGATGCCATTTCTTAAAAAGGCTGAAAATTAATACAAGTTTCTTATTCTAACATTTATAAAGCAAGGGAAATACTCTGAATCAGGTTGTATGTTTGGGTCCACAACAGAGACAGCTGGGAGAGGGGGAAAAATACTGCAGAGAAAGATCTGTCTGGTCTTCTTGCCCGTAAAAGAAATACTGTGAAATATCACAACAGAGTCCCTGTACAAAGCAGCAAGCAGCCGTGCATCAGCTTAGCGCTGCAGAGGGCACCTCATTCTGCCTTTCCTCAGATCAATCTACCAACGGGAAAAAAAAAAAAAAAAAATTAAAAAAAAAAATCGGCTTTCTAATATCCTTGGGCCAGTGAAGGAGTCTGTGCGAGTAAGGGGAATGCAGAGAGCTAACAAATCAGCTATACAAATTTGGGGCACAGGAGAATTCTACAGAAGAAACTCAAGTGAGGAGGTGACAAGGATATTAAAATGGATCCTTGAAGGTCCTGTTTCTATACCTTGCACATATAAATACCAACAACTTGCCTGGCTCCTAGAACTCACCATCATGAGCTCCTAAGCCTAAGTTTACCTAGTGTGCCTTAAGTCGCTGAAGTTAGTTTTATAGGTGCTTGAAGTCTTTACGCACCTTTATTCAGTCTTCACTACAACATGAAGCCTGACCACTTAAATCCCAGACAGCAGACAATACGTTAGCCATTTCATAAAAGCAAGTGATTATTTTTGATTATTTTCTTATCTGCATGCTGAATCAGACAGCTCTAGACTCACCATGAATAAATGCAGCCCTAGTCTTATTTCACCAGAGCAATTCCTGCATATCAAGTATTACTTAGTCTTTGAAAAAGATGTAACATAGCTGTGGAATAAAACAGAAAAGAGCATCAGAAGTTTTAGGAGATACACAAACACACAGAGAGACCAGGAGCAATAGTTGCAGTTCTATAGATACATTTTACTTGTATGTCAGAAGCAGTACATTAGTAGAGCTTTAGGGGCGTTTTTTGCCCTGCTCAAATGAAACTACTCAAACTAGCTGTGTACTCTCAGGTTTTCCATGGCCATTCCATCTAGTTTGTCCTGGAAAATATTAACAAAGGCTCTAAATCAGATCCTGTGTTTTCAAATTGCTGTTTGAAGCAGTAAAACTGAAAACTAAGTTCCTGGACAAGAACTATGTGATACAAGTGTGGCTTTTCTAATAGCTTTTCAAAAGCACCTAAAGAAATTAGAACTTAATTTCTTAAACCAATTACATTCAAGCCTTCTTGTTTATCTCTTGTACAGCTGCTGTATTTTGAGGAATAGAAGAAATAACCATGACTGGAAACCTTGGCCCCAGAAAAGAACATGGCAAAACACTGACAGATACTGAAGAGGCAATAAACTAAGAGCCTTTTACTACAGAAAGTTGGAACATTTGACTATGTCATGTAGGAAATGTTAACAGCTATCAGGTGGGGATGTTAGAAGGCACGCAGAGGCACACACATTGCAAGAAACAGGAGATAATCTCTCTCAGAATCAGGAAACGTAGGAAGTGGAACATGCTTGCGTACAGAAGACGCCGCGTGCACATTACATATGAAACACAGCATTATGCCACATCTTTCATATAAACTATATTTTTTCATTCAAGGATACGAACTGAGCCATTTCAGTTACTCTCCCAATTCTAGTGTTACTTTCCTTATGAAAAGAGGCAGTTATCCAAACAGAACATTCCCTGAGTCAACACAGAAAATCGATATAGGCGATTTTCATTTGGAAGAGTCTTCATACCTTTACCAGCAAAAAAACCCCAAACCACCAAACAAACAAAACAAACCCAAAAGCACCACGCAGATTTTGCTACTGTGCTAGTTTTAGATGGTTTTAGTACTTTGTATTCATATGCATGTAACTACATTGATGGTGTAATTACATCCTAATAGAGCAAGACCTCACAAAATTGTCTATGATCCAATCCCAGTTTGGGAGAATTGTTTTGTAATACTTTTCCTGAAGAGATCTCTCCAACTGGAATCCCATTCACGTCCCAGGGTAAAAACACAGCCAAAACATATGCAAAGTTATGAAGGCCTACTGCATAACATCAAGAAAATACTGATTTCGCAACTGTCACACAGATTTGGGGACACAAAGAGAGCTAGAGACAGAGTAATGCAAACAACTGTACATGGCTACAGAGGAGAAAGGAAAAAACCCCTTAAGTTGGCCACAGTCTTACTCTGCACCCTGCCGATTTTAGTTTGTAGGTGAAAGCAAGAAAGTTCCACCTGGCTTGGAACCCTTTAAGGGTTTCCACCGTATACTTTTTGCAGAGATGCTCTCAAATCCAACCTGAAAGAGCAATCAGTATTTATACTCTGCTTATTTCTAACAAGAATTCACAAACATTTAGCTATTTGGATTGAAAAATATAACTAGTTTACATAAATATTTTCAACATCCAAGAAAATGTACAAATCTAAAGTCAGACACATTTGGCTTGCAACAAGCCCTGTTTGCTAATGTCTTTATAAAGGCTCAGTTTTAAAGAGAAGTAGTCATTTTAAATACAACCAATATACTGCAAATGCCATCCCATTGTATGGAGACACTCACCATTCTTCTATACCTCTAGTGAAGCTGAATGGTAACATTCCACATCTGCTTGCAAGCAATGTATATCTTGGTTTGGTCCTGGGTAATTAATCTCCACTCCGATGTTTCGGAGTGGTCTTTTTACAGCTCAGAGAAAGCATTGCACACAAAATACTCAGCAGCATTGTGCAAAACCATCATTTAGTCCCCGAGGCTTTGTGTAGACTGCGTAAAAGTGGAAAACCATGATGACATAGCTGATTTCGCACTTGTGAAGGCTCCTCCAACTGACTGACCTGCATTACAAAACAAGAGAACGAAGGTCAATAGTGTAGCGTTATCATTACTAAACTACTACAAAAAAAGAATCACACAATCAGTTGTCCAATTTGGGATTTAAAATCCCAGTCCAGAGTCTACGTCAGAAAATATTCAAAGAACTTGAACATAGTAGCTGAGCAGAAATGGCCTATGTTGTCCTTTGCCCTGGAAAACTTGCTAAACTTAAGGCCAAAAGGCGCTCCTTGCCAGATTGTACAACTGCAAAAAGAGTAAGAAGACTCCAATGGAATAAAAGAGGAAGCTAAACAATTTTGGGAAAGCTACTGCAGAACAACTATCAGATTCTTCAGTGGGTGAATGCACGTTATCTTACACTGCAAGATGACAATGCGATGTTGCCCCCCTTCAAGTGCAACAAGTGCTTTTCCAGAAAATGACAGACTATTGCAAAACCCGCAGAAACTGACAAGGTCCTCCTACGATTTGAACCAGCTCTGGATAGTTTCAGTCAAAAGTAATATAAAAATGAGAATAGCTCCATGTGGAAGGTGGTGGTGTGGTCTTAAGCATTTCCAGATTATGTAAAAGCTTTTCCCAGAACATCTCCCTTCCTGTGTTCATCTCCAGCCCAGACTAGAAAAGGAACTGACACTAATTTCTTTGGCCTAGCTGCTTCTCCTTCCACTATCAGGCAATATAGAGCGCCTCAATCAGCAGCTTTACCCCTCAAAATGTTGCTCCGTTTCATATGTATGTTATAAAGTACACTTGGATTAAAATGAAATATAACTGAGATATAGGATGCTTCTTCAAAAAAGATGCGGCTTGGATGCAAGCTAGTTTTAAAGACATTTCTTACCTACAGCTTTTCCCGTTTGCACAACGTTTCGGCTAGTAGAAACCATCACATTTCCAATTTTCTTTCCACGTTCACTGTTCTGCACAGAGCTAAACAAGAGCGATAATGAATGCTGTTAGTTGACTGACTTCTTATTACTTCCAGGTGTAAATAAAATGCATAGTTAGAACATATCAATACACACACAGATTTATATAGCATACATATATATATTGTTTTGTGTGTGTGTGTATACACATACACATATGATCAAGGCTGCATGCATCTTTATCCACACAGATCAGTTAGGCAAGCTTCTCGGAGGAAGAAAAGATACTGTCAGCAAGACAGGAATCAAAACACCCAACGGTTCATTCTTATAAAACACACTTTATACCTTTCCTAAAGGTTTATCAAAATGCATTTATATTCTAAATTACAAAGTCAGATTTGCAGTAACTTTGAGAAGTTTTAGCCCTAACACATCAGCTTTAAACAAATCAGTGTTACTGATCATTCATTATTCTTTTTTCTGAATAGTTTACTTTGTATTTTGCTCTAAGATTAAATTTTTGATCAGGTACAGTTTACACTCATGCTTTTGTTAAAGAAATGCAAAAAGATGACAGACGCTACCATCATTCGGAAAGGAAAGTACAAAAGCGATCACATTCTACTGCACAAGTGTTATCACTTGAAAATAATCTCATTTAGTTTTAAATTGTAACATTCAACTCCACATTTAAGGCTTTGCAAACCCATTTATGTAAAACTTAACAACACAGCATGCTACGTTCTTTTCCCACTTTCAAAATCTTCAGTGTAGATGCAAAAAGCAGAAAGAATAGAGTACACCAAGAACAACTTTAGGCTCTGTTTGCAAAAGTTAAGTATTTTGATGAGTATCTGATAGCAAAGTCACATCTGAAGAATAAAGGCACTGCTGTAAAAATACTTATTATTAGAGACACACTAAGAACTACTGGTCCTTTGAGATTGATTTCAGGCTACTCAGAAGAGTTAGTATCTCCCCTTTCAGACACAAAAATAGGGCAAGTAAAAGATTATAGACACCCCCACATCTTTCAAATTAAGGCTTTCTACAAAGACCATCTATTAATAGTAAGAGCTGCTATCAGCATGCACCTTGTTGAAGGCAATTACCTGGAGATAAATCTTGATTCATTTGCACTCTCAATCGCCACCACGGAAATTTAATCTGTCATTGGCCAGCAAAAGCAACAAAAAGATTCAGCAGGCTGAAGTCTGAATCTTTTTATACCTCAAGCTCTTTCTTCTATGTTAGCATGTGGTTTAGGTCTACTCACAGTGTACTGAAAATAACAGTGTACAGTCAAGACAGGTGCAGAATCAGCAGCATGTATGTATTGCTGATTTACAGGCATCTTAAAGAACCAGTCTCTGATATTTTATGGTCAACACAGCTAAGTCAGAAAACAATCTGTTTTGCTTGGTGCATGAACAAGACGAGATAGTTAACTGCAACTCCAGGACTGAATTCTGGCTTCAGATAGAGCTGAACAGCTATGGGAATAACAAGCACCGCTGAGTTTTAGACTTGAACACTACAGGTAAGAGCTGAGACCAACTTTAAAGATCAGTTGAGTTTGGTGCAATAAGAGATAATGTAAAACTCATTTTAAACTTCTAAACTGAAGAAACTGAACCATGTCTCAGTACATATACAGTGAACTTTGAGAGGTTTAGAACAATGCTGTATTAAAAACCATCTAATTTTTAAAAAGCTGTTTTCTCCTAACAAGGCCTAAAGCCAATATACAGAAAAACACTGATAAAAGTTTTAACAGCTTTAGTTTACGTTTTAAAAATAAGTACACAAAAGCATTATAATTGCAGTGCCAAAAATCAGGGCTGTATTATGAACATTCAAACACAAAATAGTGCATTAGCACTGGTTTTCCTTGTTTCAGGCAAGTGTTTCATCTTTAGATGTGGTGATGTTTTGCAAGAGAATGTTGAGTATAGTTTCATGTACATGGCCAATTTAAACCATTATTTTGTTTAGTTCATCATAACAACAGTTATACAGTTATTAATATTTGACCACACATAAAAACACCCCAACAAATCAAAGTACTATATACTTACTGTGACAATCTTAACTTAACATCTGATACAGAGTACTGTCCCTGGAATGGGTGGCTAGAAGAGGAGGAAAAACCCGAGAAAACATTAAGTATTTTTTTTTTCCACAATGAATCCATATCACACAATTATTAGTTGTACTCCTCCCTATGGCTTACCAAAAAAAAAAAAAAAAAAAAAAAAAAAAAAAGCTTTTTGTAGATACACTATATTTCACTTTACAGAAGGCTAGGTCCCAGCGACTATTCAACCTTAGATTTCTTATGAACTACCTGTACGGTGCCTTCTATTTACAGATCAGATATTAACAACCTTTTCACACTAAGGCAGAGGCACCTCCTTCTAGCTACACAAAGCAAATAAAAAATAAAAAAGTCTCTTAAGTAGACTGAAAGAGCTTTGCAGGTTTAACGAAAAACCTTCTTCAGACTACAGCAGCTGACAAAGCAAACAAGACCCCCTGCAGTATAGTAATAACCCATGCTAAACAAAATACATGCTCAGCCGACAGCATTACCATCTAATCATTGAGTGAAAGTACACATAAAACAATCCAAAGTATAGAAGATGCAACATAAACCAGCCAGCTGCCCTCCATCCCCATCAATGAAAACCCTGGACACAGCTATTCCCTGGACACCTGGAAGCAATTAATAAAAAGCAGAACCATCTGAGGACAATTCCTGAGGAATGACGAACTTTCTATAGCTGGGGACAGCCAACAATCAACTTTAACAAGTTTCACTTCTCCTGACTCTGGGTATGTTTTTCTTCATAAAACTATAGCCCAGAATTAGAGTAAGGGATTGAAGAACAGAAATACTTGGTTTCTGTACTTACAGAATAGGGCCCCAAAGTTTCACCCTCAGGGCTTTACAACAGGAACAAGGGGAACGCTGTAATTTTACAGAATGGTGTACCTGACTATGCCTACTAGGAACTTCCTATATTAAAAGCATTTTTAAAAAAAAAAAAAAAAAAAAAGCTTCCTTACCTAGAATTTACCTCTGCAAGAGCTGGATGCTTGTTGCTATTCCATACTCTGTAGTTGTGGGTATTTTTCCAGGCTGCTACAAATGCCGTTCCAAAGTCTGACAAAGTCTTTTCATTGTCTGATAAATTTAAAATAAGTATGAGAATCTGCAGCAATTCATTAGAGATGTAAGACAAGACAAATTATTTTTTTCTTTTAAAGAAAAATTATATTTTTCCAGGCTCTTACCAAATCAATGACCATTAAAACTCTAGCACTAAGAACTGGGCACTTTAAAGTAAAAATAATATAACATTTTTGAAGTGTCCCAAATACACAAAGCCAAGAGGGAAAAAAGAAAAAAAGCTTAAAACCCCTTTTTTTTCTTATTTTTAATTAATTTTTAAAGTTCTAAGTAAAGAGCTCAACTGGAAAAAAAAAAAAAAGTCATCCAAACATAGGCCTTTTAACTTACTCTCTAGGCAAAGACAGGAAAGGGGAGAAAACGGCCACATAGCAACGAAGAACAAAAACATTTGCATTGGTTTTGGTCAGATACACTGGGCTTTGCTGTACTATGTTACTACTCACTCAAATTTAATAAACTCCAAATCCACTCCAAAACTGCAGTATGAACTACTGTGGAATAAACTCATAACAACATCCCCTTTAAAACACGGAAGAGTACAGGAAAAAATTTTAGAGCCAGCCAATGAAGTAGTATGAGTTTCCAGAAAACCCTGACATTTCATAACAACAAGGTAGCATTTCAAAGTATTAATTTTGTCACATAAAGAACTTAGCATCTTCCAGACTTTAAAATCAAGTTCTCAATCCCACGTTTTCTCACAAATACCACAGAACAAGATCTGAATTAGCTGAGTGATGTGAACTGAGAATAATCATGATGAGAATGAAGTTAACAGGGCCAGCGCTGGGCAAACTAAACATTTTCCACAAATAAATCACTGATTCTTTTAGTTACATTCATGTACAAAAGGCTGGAACATAGAGAATTCCCTCTGAGTTAGGACAAAACATGTTGAGCTCCAAAAACCACTATGACACTTTTCACTTATGTGAATCCTTACTTAAGACCATGGCAGGAATGGAAAAGGGATGGAACAGCCCAGTAAAACCTCCTAAAGACAGCCATTTAACTTCATGTCTCCTTGAATCCAATTAGTTCCCTCAAATTAACTTGAGGTTGCAACAGAGTTTGTAACACACCCAAGTTTGTAAAAGTCTCATCATATATGGGGTTTCAGGTACTTCTATTTATGAGGAAAGCTTAAAAAGTCAAGGAGAAGGAGACGGTCAAAGAAGAACGTGCAAGGTTGTGAAGCAAGAATTAGTAAAAAGCTTGCCAAAGAATAACATGGATAGCCAAGGACAACTAGAAAAGCAGCCTAAAATGAAACGTTAGGCAGAGGGAGATCCAATGATAGGCCACACATTTTAACACAACACAGCAAATGCGTATTATGCCCACCCTCACCTCAGTCCCTAGACAAGGTATCTGTTCTACCTGGTTGCAGCACAGCAGCAAGCAGTGCATGAAGATACGCACTGAACTGAGCCCTGATCCACTCATCTCCTCCTTCCCATCCAGTGCCATCAAGGAAAACATCATCTCTGTTCTCAGTTACATGCTTCACCAAGTAATCTGCAAATCTTAGGTCAGCAGTTGTTGGGTTCAGGATCTTACGGAGTTCTGGATCGTGGATTTGTACATGAGCATCTTCTATCTGTTTGAAATAATTCCAAGGGTAAACATTTATCTAAATAAAACTGCTTATATGTATTCTACTACATATCGCTACCTAAATCTAAACCCACGGTACCCCAAAATATCAGAAGAAACAGATGGCCAAAGAAAGAATGAACTAACTGTTCTCAGAAAGTCAGATACTGCTCTGATACAACTAGAATCTGATCATCTTCCTGGCACACAGTAAAAGCTGCTTATTGGACAGGATTTGGCAGGAAAAGTTTGGTGCTCACATGTATTTTCCTAGAGGCTTTTTCATTATCAATTCAATGTATTAAGTTGGTTATCTATATGTAGCTATCTTAGGTTACCAAATGTTGATTATATGGTTGTATCTATTTCCTAGAACTGACAGTATTTTCTTAGATACTTTTTTTTAACCTCTTGATTAAATCAGAAGGAATTCAATAACCATGTGCTTTATTATCCAACTGTATCTGTTTCTCAGCTGCAAGCACTCCTTTTTGAAGACCTTATTAAAGTCATGAAAAAAGCCCATGACATGAAAAGTAAAACTACACCAGCAACAAAATAAAAATTTAAGAAGCACCCTGCAAATTCAAATATTGGATATAAGAATATACAGAAAAACACGCATTAGTTTTGCACAGTTTATCTAATCCTATCCTAACAAATGATACAAATTTAATAAGCTTCTGCATTTAAGAATTTATTTCATAGGGAAATAATTCAAAATTGGGGCATGAATGTAAAACTTTAAAGCTATATTTAAAATGCAACCTCTGCTCCCTCCCCCCGCCCAGTTCAACGACTTCAAATGCAAAGATTCATACTTCCACAATTGCATCACTCAGATGCTTCTGCTGACGGAACAGGATATTGGTGGCTCCTGCAACAAAGCCGCGGACTGTTACATCTGACAGGAGATGATGCTGCTGCAGTGCCATGTATGGCAAACAAAGGTATCCCTAAAGCAACACAGATATTTAGAGGATTAACACAAGGCAAAAAAAAAAAACCAACCCAAAACCTGTCTACATTCAGAGTTTTTTCTAATAAAAACCAGCACATTCCATCCAGAACAAACCTTGGTTATAACAATTTCAGCCATGATTATCTATTGCTTTGCTACATTACATCTGCAAAGCAAAGCAACCAGATTCCACATGCATTAAATTTTTCAAGAGGTTGTGCTGCCTTTCAGTCTCAGGACTGAAACTGAAATACAATGCAAAAGACAGGAACCAAAGGTGTTTATAAGGCAACAGAATAAGCAGCGTAAAACAACAGTGAGGTCTCAGGTCAGTTCAGACAAGAAGTCAATGGAGATAAAGATTCATCTCTCCACTTGCATACCATGGTGTCTTCTGGCAGCCCTGAGGCACATAATGCAGGGAAGCTACAGACTGCTATCCACATTTTGTAGGTGGAGATTTCCAGGCTCCAGAGATAGCAATCAATTTTTGATAAGCCTATGCATACTCGCTTTCAGAAAGAGCAGGATAGAAAGCAATACACTGTGCTTTTTAGCCAGTCCATGCTTGTAAGTTAATCTAGTATCCTGCATTCCAACTCCAAAAAAAACCCCAAACATTTTGAAAAAAGGCTTTGAAGTAAGTCATTGAGAGATCATTGAGAAGCAGCTGTAGGTATTGTAATTTTCTTTTAAAATACTGGATCAACGTACCCCTGAAGTCTAATACCGAAGTCTAATTCCAGCTGTTCAATTGCATAAAGCACAAAGAAATTTATTCGCTAGTAGAAACCCAGAAGGGCTAACGGCATAGTGGACAGAAACAAAGAGCACATGCACTTTATCACACAGTACATGGCAATCGGAAACATATGGAAGAAAGGAGCACAACTATTCCCTTTTTTTATATTAGACACAGGGATGGCTTTCCAGATGACAAGCACTTATCAGTTGAAAACAAACAGCCTGTGTCAAAGCAACAATGGTGCTTTGAGAGGAATCACCAACCTAAAATGGAACTTTTTCAAAAAATACGGCTTAAGAAGCTGGCAAATGAAGGTTTAATTACTGTATTCTCTAGTACCAAGGTCTTGGAAATCTTTCACCGTTTAAGGTATCAAGTGTCAGTTCCCAAATTCACATTTGTCTAAAAGTACAACAACTTTTATTTCCATGAATGTGTTCCATTCTTTTTAGAAGAGTGCAAATGAAATGAGTATTAGATCTTACGGAACTGGTACTAAAGAATCCGTTTTTCCTCATGCTCTGGTGTACTTTGATATGCTATTATGCCACCTGGCAAACTCTCCTCCCATTCAAATTTGTCAGATTTATTAGTCTTTCCATGGCATGGCATAAAACAACCATGAGAAGAGAGCTCTAAAGAGATTTAAACTTTCCAGTAAGTGGTTAAGCTCTAACTTTGAATCACGTTTTTCTGAAAACTTAGAGATGTAAAGCCTTTTCTGCTTTAATTACATTCGAGGAACTCAAAAAGTGCCCTTATGGAACAGAAGGTAAACATGTAGAAACTGTCAGCTTTCATAAATTGTTTACTTTTCCATTTTATGAGCTTAGTAGCAAACAAAGTTTGCACTCGTAGGCCCTCTTATCAATTACTTTCTTCTCGCATTCAATCCAGTATTTTCTATAGAACTAGACTAAATACAATTTACAGGCTATTATTTTCATTAGAAAGACCGTATGGACAAACACCAGACTGCATACCTTTCTTGAAAAAGCATTTCTAACAGTGACGTGAGGCAATACAGGGCAATGAAATTTGAGCTGCTCACTTGGGCCCTCATAGCATACCATTTCCAATCAAAGTTATTGCCAGAAGCTCAAACACAATTATCAAATACAATGTTCTGCAAGGAAATGCAAAGAAACGCCTCCAAAGGAAGAAACACCACTTTGAACCTCATCAGCTTGAGGATATAAATCAGAATCTTCTACTTCCTGTGCAAATGTTTGTCTAAAAGATTATTACATTAAAACCAAACCACAAAATTTATTATATCACTTCTTTTACTGACAAAAGTATCTTTCAAAGGGACATATCTTCCCTGTTTTTTATGGGAAACCAGCCCTAGTAAATGTATCACTTGTTGGCTGACAATGCCCATCAGAGTTTTTAGAGAGACTCTGGAATACCTGGAGTTCAGTTAGACATCAGCAAAAGCTTAAAATGCAGCAGCTCAGCACCATGCACAGGAGAAGAGCCACAGACAACCACAAAGAGTTACCATGACAGGTGAAATTTTATATATATATATATTTGTGTGTGTGTATATACACACATATTTACATACATGTTTTGTGCATATATACACACATACACATTTATAAATACATATATAAAAAAATTAGAAGAGGAAAACATAGGCTTAGGTGTCAGCTAAGATACAGCTTTCAGAATCTTAGTTTAGATTAAGGTATCTAAACACTTCTTAAGTACTCTGATCTTGCCTCATATAGGTCAGATCAACAATTCTTCAGAGTAAAAGAAAACAGTTGTTACTGATACATACCATTTGCTAACCACAGTGGGGCTGCAGGTTACCATCATGTAGAATTAAAAACAGTATATAAGTATACACACGAAAAAAAGTGGAATGCATGTATGTGTGCACATACCCCTTTCCACCTGCCTATGAGCACAGTCACTTGCCACAGACTGTACTTACATGTTTTGTAGTACCCTACTGTCCCTCTGGAGCTGGGCAACCAAAATTATTAGCCACTTCTGAAAAACAGATGTCTTTATGAGTTACCAGGTATCACAAACAACATGTTTACCTTCGTAAAAATAGCCAATGGCATACCATACTGGTCCTCTTCCAACCCAGATATCAGTCCTGGAACAAGCACCGTGTGTCCTGTATTTGCTTGGGGCTGCACAGTGATTGGAAGGCTTTCTGAGCTCATGCCTTCGCTCAGATTTTCAACCTGTTCTGATGCTGTATTTTCATGTTCTTCTTTCAAATTAGACTCCTCCAAAACGCTAGGATCTAAGGTCTCCCAGTCACTTTCAGAGGATGCTGGAGAAGTGCGGGAAGGAACTTTCAAGCGCTGCACAGTACCATTGGAGGACTGAGTTCCATTGCAAGTCTTCTCTGAGTGGGAGAAAGGCACGTTTGCTTTTTGACCTTCCAGTGAATGGTTTCCTGCCATCTTCCTGCCTCCCTTTCCCATTCCTAAGTTTGTATTTGAAGTATCAGCAGCAGACAGAGAAACATAGTCATCTAACTGTGGTGTATTTTCTTGCAAGCCAGCATCCTCCGATACGCTCTTTCTTGGTCTATACTGCGAGCAGTCAGTAAGACCATGTTCAATCATACCTGGAAAGTGATAGCACACATGAATATCAGCATCTCAATAGAAATTTAAGTGACTTTTGTTAAAAGTGCTCTTGTGTGCAGAGTGGAAATAATGTGTTTTAAAACGCTACTTTGGGGAGGGAGAGCAGTGTTAAAAAAAAAAAAACCAAACTGAACACCTTCTCTCATAAAGAATCTGCCTCAACTTTTTTGTTTTGAGAAGATTGGTTAGAAGCTGATAATTAGCAAGGTTGGGGGTTTTAGATTGGTTTGGTTTTTCTTTTTTTTGTTTTGTTTTGTTTTTTTGAAGAGTGCATGTAGAAGGAAAAAAGAGGTTTGTATTTTTGGTTTTTAAGGAATTTGACAGGAATGTGTGACTTATTCAGGGTCCCATCTGTGTTACCCACAGGCAAACCAGGAGATCCAGTGGGTCCAATTAAGCACAAGAAGTAACCCATAGAGTGTAAGTAGTTAAGTATTAGGAGTTGTGTACCTAGTATATTGACATGCATGCAAGTTACCCATTTTTCAGGCAACATACCAACATAACTCTATTGCCACGCAAGTTGTTTGCGAAATGAAACAGTACAGCCAGTCTCAGTTATCA